TGGAAGGAAAGAGGACTGTTGAACTCACAAGGGAAACACATCAAACATAGGAAAGAAATTCTGGAACTGCTAGAAGCTGTACAACTTCCAAGAAGAGTGGCAATCATGCATGTTAAGGCCCACCAAAAGGTGAACTCGGATTTGGAAAAAGGAAATGAACTGGCGGACAGAGAGGCAAAACAAGCAGCCAAAAGAGAGGTAAAAATAGAGGGAGTTTTAGTTCCTGATGGGCAAATCATCCCAGAAGTTAAGCCTAATTATACTAAAGAGGATCAGAAGTTAATTACAGACCTGGAAGGATCATATAATGAAGAAGGTTGGGCCATCACTCCCCAAGGGAAGGTAGTAATTCCCTCTTGTTTAGCAAGACACCTGGTGCGAGAGGAACACAGGAAAGGGCACTGGGGAGCGGAGGCCCTATACCGGTATTTGGTCAAGAGTATTAGAGCTAGAAATCTGTATACCATAGTAAGACAAGTGACTCAACAGTGTGACCTTTACCTCCAGACTAATCCTAAGAATACCCCCACTCTAGAAGTAGGCCAGATTGGAAAAGAAATAGGCCGAGACAACAATAGCAAATTGATTTTTCAGAATTTCCAAGAAAAGGGGGGTATCGATATTTACTGGTATTAACGGATACCTTTTCAGGTTGGCCAGAAGCATTCCCCACTAGATCTGCCAAACCCCAAAAAGTGACAAAAATATTAGTACAAGAAATAATTCCACACTTTGGGGTCCCAGCAACTATATCCTCAGATCGAAAGTAATTCAGCAAATCAGTCGCCAACCAGGTATAAACTAGCAATTTCACATTCCTTATCGTCCCCAATCTAGTGGCCAAGTAAAAAAGATGAACCATTTGATTAAACAACAAATAATGAAACTTGGACAAGAGTCAAACCTGACCTGGCTCCAGGCTCTCCCTCTGGCACTTTTGTGCATACGAGCAAAACCGAGGGCCAGGGAAGGGTTGAGCCCTTTTAAAATGTTTTATGACAGACCTTAGGCAGTACAGAAAGGAACATCGATGCAAGTTAGGGAGGAAACTATGACTTCATACATGATAGCATTAAGTAAGCAACTCAATAAAATTAAGAAACATGTATTTGGAACTCGGGGTAAAGGGTTAGATGGGCCTGTGCATAACATTCAGCCTAGAGATTATGTATATGTTAAGTCTCTTACAGAAAAGACGTTGGAACCACAATGGGAAGGGCCGTTTCAAGTGCTACTCACAATGTTTACGGCCATCAAAATTAAAGAATACTCAGCCTGGATTCATCACACCCGAGTAAAGAGGGCCCACAAATCCCCATGAAAGGTTACACAGACTCAGCCTGGAAGACTACGCTTCTCATAAGTAGTCTAATAATCTCCTTTCCCCAGATACCCGGTCAAAAGTTCGCTGAATAGCCGTGGTCCCAGGCGTACATGGGGTATACTGGCAGCATGGATATAACCAATACTAACGCAACCTTGACTTTAGCTACTGTAGTGATACAAAGAATAAAGGTGTATACAAAAACTAAATAGAAAGACGTCAATGGAGTACCACAATTATGAGGAACAGTAGGGCAAGAGATTAGAGTAGGGTGTCGAGTAATGAATGAAATCATCCATTGGTCAGTGCATCAGATTACAATATCTGAGATCAAGATCTTAAATCCCAAATATATTGTGTCAAGTATTGGTCATATATGTGATCCAAAAATCTAGAATGCTGGTATAATTTTACTTTGACTCAACCTGCTGTCTCTGTGACATGTCTCTGGACTAAAGATAAACTAGGGCTGTCCTTTAAGTTTAACATGGTAACTACTCTAGTGACAACCACAGCAATCACTGTAAATCTTACACCCAACGTATACGAGGTCGGCCCATACGTGATCAGACACCTAGACCAACAGCAAGTGCTGATCAATCCAAAATGGTCTCTAAAAAAGTAGAATTACAGATGCAAGTTAACATTTCTAATAGAGAGCCACGTTGTTTCCCCTTCTTACGAACCTCAGATAAAGGATGGACAACTTGACTAAAGAAAAAAAGAAATGCCTACCAGAAAAAAACACAGAGAGACCTAACCGGAGTATTAGGAACCGAATTAGGAGTGTTAAATTCAATAGATTCAGAATTAATAACAAAAATATTAGCAGCTACTACAAGGGATATATCAAAATTACAACAGCCATTAAGGTCTTCACTATCAGCATTAAGGGTACATCAATAAGCAATGTCAAAAATAATGCCAGATTAAGAACAAAAAGAAACAAAGGACCACACACTTATTGCTGAAACCTTGGAAGCGTTACAAGGTAATATCGCCGTAGCTCTAAGTTATATACAAGCCCAGTTATGGATGCAAACTGTAGCAGAATCTGTAATAAGGGAAGAAAAGGAGAGTACACTTCCCACTAAAATTCAAAAAATAATTTGGGATAGTGCCACAGAGACAAAGTTACAATCATGGTGGAATATGGTCAACTTCACCTATAGGCCTGACACGCATACAGTAACAACTTTTGTGTTAACAATATATAATGCAAAATTAATCACCATACACCCCATTGTAAGTCTTGGAATCAATTATAATAGGACTCTGCTGTACCCCTTTAAACATAAAACCTGGGCTATAAATACTAATAATAAATGGCAAGCAGTAAATCTCGAACCCTATATCATGAAAGAACAACAGAAATTTATATGTAAAAGTAATACCTACTAACCCAGGATACCTGCTTAGGTACTGACCGAAAGATTTGCCACTTGGAAGCACGCCCCAATGTAGATTTGAGAACCATTGTTGTCTATACCGGAAAGGGATGTGCATGTTTAAGGGCACTGTGTGACACAATAACCATAGATGGGCGAGAGAAAAAATTGATACAGCATCTAAATTATTGTATTTGTAATTTCACCATCATCCTGGGGTGCAATTTCACTTATTCTGCCCCGGTGGTTACACATTCCCTCTTGAAAAGCAGCCTCAGGGTAAAGGTACTTCCTGTCCCCATAGGCTTAAATGTCAGTCCTATAGAAAGCCTATTAAAACACCCAGACTTACACCGGATACTGGAAGAAGTTAAGGAAAAAGGGCAAGAAACTTTACTCACAACCTTTCATGATGGGGAAAGGATAAAAAAGGTCTTAAAGATGGTTAAGCAGGAAGGGAAACATAATTGGTGGGATACACTCTTCGGATGGTCGCCGACAACTACTGGAATCTTAAACACAGCCCTTCACCCAGTGCTTGCTTTATTAATATCTGCAGCAATTTTGTTAATCCTTACTGTAGCTATATATGGATGGATCTGGAGACTTACAAAACGCTTGCAAGCTATGTATCATGCTTTATATCACAATTGAAGCTTTAAGCAATAAACTAACTAATTTATAAGATAGTACTAACATATTATAGGGCAAGAAAAATAAAAAGTAAATAAATAAGTAGTAAAAGAATTTACTAAATAAGAAGAAAAGGGGGGAATGAGACAGGGAGTCTAAACAATCTTAGATTGATGGTGCAAGGCCTGCGCAAAAACAAGGGGAGGCGTATGGGACTGTTCGAAAAGACATACCAAGTACTGATAACGTTGCTAGGCGATTAACTCCTAGCCCAAAGAGAAGTCCCTCCTAGTCTTTGAAAAACAGACTACCCCAAAACATTGGCCTGGAAGAAAGCCAGAGAACAACTGAGGCTGCGCAGAGCGACAGGGAGAAAAGTTCATCAGTGAAGAAGAAGAGGAGACCTGATTACCATGAGAAGCGAGGGGAGGCAGGGGTAGACTATGTATATGTACAGGCGTTCTATGAATATGCACTATTTTGTAACATATAAGCCGGACGAGAGCTGCAAACGATGCGCATGCTTGTGGTGGAGCGATCCCCCATGCGCCCGGCACTGAAGAAACATAGCCACTTTATAACCCCAAAAGTTATAGAGTGATTTCTCCGCAAAACAGATTTTAACTGTTCCTTTTGGAGGCCATACATCCATTGGTTCTCCTCTTCTATTTCTTGTCAGGAACGGCCATTCCTCTTGGCACAAAATTATCAGTTTCCTTTTCTGTAGTGATAGTGCCAAATGTATCTTTCCTCAATCTTCTAAAACCTCAGCAAGGGGCGTCCCCCTTTCAATGCTGAGTACTGTCCCCATCTTCTATACATTTATTTTATCTCTCTCTTTGCAAATTTAAACACAAGAGTTTCCCAGTATAACTCTGTCTGGAATTACCCATGCCCAAGTCTCTTAGGTGAACTCCTAGGCATCTGGGACCAGCCTAGGAACGCCATTGTCCCCCGGAATCCAGTGTCCAGGCTCCGCCTAGGAACCCTGCTGTTGCCTGGAAACCCAGGCATTTGGATGCTGGGCTTTGGAGCCATGGCATGGTGGATGGCCCTGCTGCTGGTGCTGGCCCCCTGGCTCCCTGGGGTGCACACCTGCCTGTTCTGCTTTGGGCCCGCCATTCAGCGGACACGGCTCTGCCAGGACATTACTGGGGCCCCCGTCAGCGACCCCCGACATCGACAGTGCCTTGAGGCCCTCGTCCAGGCTGCTGTGCCACTTGCCTCCGTCACCGTCGGTGCGTCATGGAACCCCATGGACACCCAACCCAATGGGGACGCTGCCCAAGGAGCCCCATCCTGACTGGCACCTCTGTCCCTCCAGGACCCTCCAGCCCAAGAGTCTCCCACCCTGGACAGGACCCCTGAGAACCCTCTGGGCTTCCCCACTTCAGTCAAGGCCCTCCTACTCTTGCCAGCCAGGATTCCAGGCAGTTGGGGACCCCTTGCCTAAAGAGGGACCCACCCCAGACAAGCAACCTAGGGACTCCCAACCATGCCACGGTCTCCCCACTCCCAACCAGCACCCCAGGGATCCCTCTGAATCAGAACCTTGCCTGAGACTCTGAGAATCACCCAACCCTGGGCAGGCACACCCTGGGGACTTCCTGGGACCCTCTGGCCCTGCCTAGGGCCTCAGGAATCCCCAGGGATACCTGACCCTTCCCAGTAGCCCTAAGCCCTGATCAGGACCCAAGGAACCCCTGCAAACCCCCAGTCCTTACTGGTCCCAGGGTCGAAGCAGCGTGAGGCACTTCGTGAGATCATCATGGATGCCCTGCATTTTCTGGAGCAGCAGAAGAACATGAGTGAGCAGGGGACGTGGGACATGCAAGGGGGTAGGGCCAGGACATGGGCCACGGCGGATGGGACGTGGAGGCCTTGAATGGGGAGGCTGGTGAAGTACAGGCTCTGTGGAGGTCTGGGGGCTGTAAGGGGATCTTTGGGGAATCTGAGGGTATATGGCCTTCGAGGTATAGAGCTGCTGGGGGGTTTTGAGGGGGTATTTGGGCATCTATGGGACTCCAGGATGGATATATGGGGTTGAGGGGAGTTGCACAGGGGATCTGCAGGCTCCAGGGAGGGTTTATGGGGACTGGGAGGAGCGCACATTGTCTCACCTGTCTCACACGTGGGACACCCCAGAGCCTTTTGAGGTGTCTCTGCAGGAAGCAGTCAACATAATCTGGGCAAAGCTGAGCCAGCTGGAGGAAGGTACGGGACCAGTGGGGACACCCACCCAGGACCCCCACCCTGGGGAACCCCTGAGCCCTGGGACCCCCACTCAAGGGACTGTAACCGACATCCCCACCCTGCACATCTACACCCCAAGGACCCTCACCCTGGGCACCCCCAGCCTGGAGAAACCCCCAGGGACCCCATCTGGGCTGGACAAGGGCTGAGCCCTGACAGCTCCTCACAGGGATGTGGATCCCCACTGATCCCCAGTCTACTGCTGCTTCCTCCCCACCAGCTCCAGCCTGCGTCCCTCCCTGCGGTGAGTGCCCATCCCGCTCTCTTGCCACCCCCTGTACCCTAGCACATCTCCCTTCTCCCTGCGACCACCCACTCTCTCTCTCCCAGGGTACCAGCCAGCCGCCCGTGTCTTCCAGTGTGCTACCTGCCGCCTCGTGGACTGCCACTTTCCCCTGGACTGCCCAGGTATGGGGCTGGGGGGGGCCCAGGCATCCACAGCCCCATACCGGGGCCAGGCGCCTCCCGAGCTCGGGGGCCATCCTCATTTGGCACACATGGGCATGCGGGCAGGGCCCACCCTGAGCGCCCAACTGCGTGCCCACCCCCCCAGAGCACGTGCGGTCACTCAGGAGTGCGGTCATTTCTCTGAGTGACTGAGCAGGTGGGAGAGAGCTCACGTGCCTCTCAATGCTCCCAGTGCAGGACGTGTGGGCCCACGCGGGGGAAGCCATCACACTGCGCTGCGACGTGCCCTTCGATACCCCCTCCGACCTGCCCGTCACCTGGATGTTTGCCAAGGATGTGAGTTGCACAGGCGTGGGCAAGGGTGTACGTAGACATTCACGAGAGGACTGGGCGTGGGGAACAAGGCCTGCGTGCACAGGGCTGTGCGCTTGGCACGGGGACTATCAGTAGATACGGGTATGGCTCATACACAGATACGTGTGCTGTCAGGAGCGTGTGTGTAAGCACGCACAGGATGCACATGCCTGCCTGTGTGAAGGGTGCACTCAAGCAGGAGGCAGGTCACTCGTCTGTCTGCAGATTCTTGCGCGCTTGTGCGCGCTTGGGTGTGACAGAAGTGACTTTTCCATGTGCTCTGCTTGTGCAGCCCTGTGTGCACACACACAGGGCCCAAGGAGCACATGTGGGACACAAGGTGCACGCGTGTGCATGAGCAAAGGGTACAGGAAGAATGAAGGGGGCATGATGGGCATGTGCAGCACACGGGTGCCTTCGTTTGCACGTGTATGCTGTCTTGTGTACCTGGTGCACCAGGCTGCATTGATGTGCTCCCCCGTCCCCAGCTGCGCACACAGGATCTGGCAGTGTTTGATGAGCTGCAGGAGAGTGTGGAGGGACCTCTCAGTCTGACCCTGCAGGAGCCCATTCCAGGAACCGTTGCCTGTTGCCTGGGGGTCCTCTCTGAGCCCTTGGTCCGCAAGTACTTCTACCTCAACGGTGCGTCCAGACAGCTGCGTGCCCTGGGGGTGATGAGCAGTGGATGGGGGAGCAGGATGCCAGGCACCTGCGTCCATGGGAGGGGGGTGCATGGGGGGTGAGCAGGTGCCAGGACACCACAGGTGGAGTGGAGCCGCTGGTCCCCGACGCCTGGCTCCTCTGGGGACAGTGGGGCATGTGGGGTGCCGCAGGGGCCCCCCGGATGCCTGGGTCCCTGGGGGCAGGGGGCTCTGTGGCCAGAGCAGGTGCTGCAGGCACACCTGGTCCCTGGGGGGCAGTGCCCCATGACCCGAGGTGCCTTGGTCCCCACAGTATCAGGAGGAGGTGTGGAGGCAGAGCAGGGACTCCAGGCTCAGTTCGGAGCTGTGCTGCGCTGGCCCGAAGGCAGGACTCCTCTGCACCACATGGCATCGCTGGGGCTGGGGCTGGCACTTGGCTTCATGGCGCTCGTGCTGCTGCTGCTGTGAGTCCTCCTGGCCGGGTGAACCTTACCCTGCAAGCCTCGTGCTTCTGGGGCTCCCTGCATGGGACTCCCAACACCCCCCAGACCCTCACTCCCTCAGCGTTCCCTACAGATGGAAGGGGACCCAGGTGGCCAAGGTGGGGCACAGACTGCCACGACTCCTAAACTCACAAGGACCCCTCTTTTCCCCTGGGTCTCCCCTTGTCCTCTGGCCCATTCCAGGACGCCTCCCTTGCACCCAGGACAACTCCAGGCTGCCTTGCTTCCCCCAAATTGCCCCTGAGACCCTGACACTTTCACCCCTTTTCCCCAGAACCCCACTGTCCCTTTGGGGGCTGCACTCACAGTCAGTTGCCCCAGTTGCCCCCAGGGTCCCATACTTTCACGCTTAGACCCATCAGTTGCTCCTTGGGCCCCCCCTATGCCCCACCATTCCCCCCACCCCAGATTTCTCCATTTTACCTCCTCTTTCTCCATTCCTCCTTCTGCCTCCCAGGGCCACCTGGCAATGCTGGAGCATCCTAGGCCTCAGGGACACACGGACATCCCACAGATCTGGGCAACAGGGTCCCTCAGGGGATTCCTGGTGCCTGGATTCACCATAGAGGAGCTTGACACGTCGCTTCGTACCCGAGGACCAAAAATCCTGTGCGGAGGATGGAGGAAGCAAGCAGCCAATTCAATGTGAATGATAGAGCAAGCTTCAACTTTATTGAAAGAAATCACACCTTATATAAGCACTCTACAATAATCATGCATACTACTCACAAATCTATTGGATACATGTAAAAGGCTACATTATAATATCCCAGCCCCTTTTGGCATTTCTGGCATGTCACAACATCTTCCTTCTTCTGGCCTGCTTTCTTTCCCAAGGTTGTTTACCATCATACTCAAGGCCTTTGTGTACCCCAGTTTCTCTCTTTGTTAACATAACAGTCCTTTGTTAGCATAACTGTGCCCTGAATATCTTTCCTTGTTTGCATAACTGTGCCCTGGGTTTTTTCCTTTGTTTACCTCAGGTGGCTGCAAACAGCTCCTGCACAGACCCACGGCCTTGCTCCACAAGCCATTCTCCAACAATCCTGCACTTGGCTCTTGCATTAAATTAAAACAGTCTAAAAATAGAACTACACAGTTCTAAATAATTGGATTATGATGGACATGGAGATCTGGGGGTCTTGGGCTTGCATACAGAAATCTATGGGCTTGCATACAGAAAAACTAGCCACTGGGCAGCACGTAAGCAGTCCAAAAAATTGCTGTGACGCTCCTGACCCTGCACTTCAATGGCTAGCACTAAGGGAAAGTCAGCTGTAGGAAAGCTTTCTCTTGATACTCCTGTATCAGAGATACAAATGTATAAGAATGCCTTTATTATGTCACAGCCACAACAAATGCCAAGTTACTTTCTCCTCCAATTCTTTGCCTAAAAGCATTTTATCACATAAGCTTCTATCACTGTATAACCCAGGTAACTTAAATGGGGATAAATTGCTGCTACAGTTTTTTTAGATGTTATGTCTGTAACAAAACAGCCAAACAGTAGAGGAAGACTGCTATAAGTTCCTTGAAGAAGAGAGTAGAAAAATCCCTTAAGACTCTGATCACGATACCTCCAGCGCTGGCTCTAATAGGGCCTTGAAATGTCCTGAGACTTATGTTAGAAAAAACGGCAATCAGAAAAATATGAAACAGGCTGCAGACACAGTACACAGAGTGTGCCCATATCCTGCTGGTGCCTTTGGTCCCAAGCACTTGGTAAAACGCTTCCGTTACCCAGGCTGACATTCCAGCTGTATTTAACTCTTTGGTGCTGTCAGTGCTGGGTAGGTCGAGAAGCCTGAGCTGTGATCTCTGGGCGGAAGACCCAGCCTGTGCTCCCCCAGCCTGCAGAGGCCGATCCTGACTCAGGCAAGGACCTTCTCCTCTTGCAGTGATCTGGCCACAGGACAGAGCCACCCTGTGCTCATCCTGGAGGCTGCAGCTCACATTCCTTACCCAAGTAAGAACGTTTCCCATCAGGAACACTGCGCTTCTGTGATCCCTGCCTGTTTCGTCTGCTGCTGAACAAGCTGATGTGGACGGTGGAAATCACACTCCTTTCAGTCTCAGGTTTCCCGTGGGCAAATGCCTGTGAGAAGCAAGCAGAAGGGGATGAAGCTCTTCCCATCCTGAATGCTGATGACAGCAGCATTCACAGCTGGCAAAGGAGGGTGACACAAAGATGCAAGCACCAGGCATGGGGCTCTCCCTTCCTCTCGGACGTCTTGGGCTCACCTGTTGTCTACTGCCACAGCAAGTACTGCAAGGGCTGAGTAAAACATGGAGCTGCTCTGATGCAGTCCCAGAGTGGAGAGTGGCTTGCTACATGGTCATTTGCTCCATGCAGCGCAGTGATGCTGTCCTCCAGGACCCCGACTCCTTACTGCACACTCTGGAGCTGGCTGGGGTCGGGGGGCCCGCAGCTGTACAGCAGCGGCTCAGGCAGCCTTGCTGGAGCTCCAGCACAGAAACCATCAGCTGCCGAGCACAACATCGGGTTCCTGAGACTGTCCAAAGGGACTGACCCAGGGGAAAGAGCCCTTATGACCCACTGCAGGTTGGGGCTGACTGAGGGTCTTGCTGATGAGGTGGCCACAGTCGGCCCTCCCCAGAGACTGAGGCAGCTCTCAGGCCTGGCTATCACTCTGGAGAGGAGGCTGGCAGTGCAATAATGCTGTGTGCTGGTAAAATAATTAAGTCTCCACAGCCACAAGACAGGAGAAAATATAAAAACTCAGTTGGAAATGACAGCTATACCACTCTGAGCCATGCCTGCTCCCCTTCCCTAGAAACCTTCCCTTCCTTACGATACAGCAGCCTGGATGTTAACGAGCAAATTGAGACCAACCACCTCCCTCTCTGCCCCGGACAATTCCCTTTTTAAAAACCACTAGATGAGGAATGATGCTTAGAGGCCAGGCTGGAGTGGGCCGAGAGGAGCACAAAGAACCAGAAAGCCAGCAGCCCGCTGCTCAGTCTGCTGACACTTTCTCTGATCTCTGACAAGCTTGCTACCTAAAGTTGCCTTAACTCTGTGCATTGACTTAAAAAACATCGGTCTTTCCCTGTAACTTGAGCTCAGGCTCAGCTCATCATGCTAGGGCCCTGAACTTCCAGCGTGGCCACATACCAGCAGCAGCAGTTCTGTAGGAGTCCCAAGTTCCAGTATTTAAAAGGTGGCTGCAAAGCAGATGGAGACTCCCTCTCCACAAGGAGTCACATGGAAAAATGAGGGGCAATGGGTGCAAGTTACTCCTGGGGAGATTCCAGCTGGACATGTGAAGAATATGGTGGTGATTTGTCTTAAAAATAGAATGACGTTAGTATGAGGAGCATGGGTGCTACTGGTATTTTGCCATGTACATAAGTTAAGAGATTTATTGTGGGTTTATTGTTAAAATGGTTTGGAGGGTTTTTTTCCTCAGTAAACACAGACTCATATGGACTGTCATTGTGAATGTGGAAAAGTACTGGAGGAACCCCTGTCAGTAGACCCTAGCAACACTAGAAAGGCCGGGAAAGTCTGAGGGGCCCTGCTGCACATGTGAAGACTCAGACAGGACCGTAACGGGAGTGACCAGCACCACATAGTGTCCGTCGGTACGGAGAAGAAACCCCCCCTGCTCCCCGGCGTACCCAACCTTTTTATTGTGCTTGTTCTTATTTCAATAGATTTATAAGTTATTTTCTGGTTCTGCCTCTGCATTTATAACAGACACAAGAGGAAAGTGTTTAACAATGTGAACAATCAGCCACTGGAATAATCTCCCCAGGGAAGTGGTGGATTCCCACACATTGGACACTTTTAAGATTAGCTGGACAGGGTGCTGGGCCATCTTGTCTAGACGGTGCTTCTCCCAAGAAAGCTGGACTAGATGATCCCTGAGGTCCCTGCCAACCTGGGATGGATTCTGTCGTTCTACGAGACCAGCAAGAAGATCTGTACATCTCCAGAAGCCTTCAAATTCCACAGAAAACAGAAGATTGAAATAGTTCTACAAACAGATCAATAAAACTCCCCTTCCCCAACTAAAAAGACCTTGCAAATTTTACACTATTCATCAGACCAATCACTCTCCCTAAGCTTGCACATGAACAAGGGTCACAACACTTAACAGCTCAACTGTCAGGCCCCTGACAGTGCGGGAGCTGCTGTCTGCAAAAGCTGAAGCCGCCCGATTTACAGTTACAACAGAGCAGTATTCCTTGGCATCCTTGAAAGAGGGCACCTCTAACCTGATACACAAGAAAATCTTTTCCGGGAGTGCATCCAAGTGATGCCAGCAAAACCACATACACCCTAAGTTCTTCAAAGTTATACAGAAGAAAATTAATCCCAGTATTTTGACAAATGCTATTCTAACTGGATTTTTTTTCCAACTCTTTTGTGGTATTTCCTTCAAAACGTCTTCCTCAGAGCCTCCAACCTCTCAGGGTGCCCAGCAGGCAGCCTCTGGTCAGGTAAATAAAAACCACATTGTCAAATTAAGGAACTCGCACTGAGGGTACTGAGTTACAAGCTCCTTCTTAGTACAAGAGCATCCTCTTGCCCTGCCTTTGGCAGAAGGCAGATGGAAATTCCACAGTAGAAAACATTTGGGACATGAACAGGTGACAAGTGTCCTGCCCTGCTTTTTCAGTTCCTTTATATACAGATTCACAAGGACTCCAGACTCAAGTGAAAACCTTACACTCCCTTAGCCAACACTTAAGCACTACACAGAGACAGAGTTAATTCTCTCTTTGTTTTAAATGTCATGAGCCCAAATAAAAGCAATGCTGACCATCCTCAAACAACGTCAGCCCAGCCATGGTACCCTCATCTAAAACAATCCAGCTAAAGCCAATGAACACCCACAGATGCAATCAGTGTTCCGTAGAGCGAGCTGCAACGCATTGCTCTGCACACTCACGCAATGCCAGCGCAAACTCTGGATCAAGCAGCAACTGAAATCACTA